ATGAGTACCTAAAGGGAAATTTCTAGCCATTTTAGAGAGGTAATTAGCACATACATTAGCCTCTCCACACACATGGCTAATGACACAAATCCAACTATCTTGTATCATGTTTCTAATAGCCAGAATAAGCTGTTGCAGACGTCCACTAGACTCCATGCTGCCTTGAATGTGTTGAACCACTGCTGCATTATCACACTCCACTTTGATGTGGGATTTTCCCATTTGTTTAGCAATCTTGAGACCATCAAGTATAGCCCACAGCTCCGCCCCATGTATCCAAGGACCTGAGGAATCTCTAAGGAGACCTCCTCCATAAGCCAGGAAATTAACAAGAGAACCGTCTGTGTTCAGCTTAAGGAAGGGGTCAGTAGGAGCTGTCCATAAAATCCACGATAATGTTTTGTTGATTTTCATAACTCCATCTCCATTAAAGACGCTTGCTGCATTATAGTTTTCCTTAGTCGAGAAGATAATATCATTCATGGTTTCCTTAAGAGATATATGATACTGCTGGAATGTCCATACGTTCCTTCTTTTCCAAATTTTCCAACAGGCCACTTCGAAAATGCTAGCACATGGAGTTCCCGAAGGATGCAGTTCCTACTTTTGAGGTTATAAATCAACTAATCTTCCAAAGAGATACCTGTATAAAAAATAATGTAAATCAGACACATTAAGAGAAATGCAAATCTGGTTTACATAGGAACACTCCCTTAACACATGAAGGAATGTTTCTGGAGCTCCCATGCAACTTCTACACATTGGAGAGGAACAGAGACGCCTCCTGTTACTTTCACCATTGGTAAGTAATCTATTGTGGTAGGCTAACTAGAGAAAAACTCTAATTCGCTGGGGACTAGACCACTTTCAGATCAGAGACCATTGCTATTATTGTTATCTTCGTTAAAATTGGAAATCCAATTGTAAGCCAATTTGATTGTAAACTTCCCTGAATTAGTGAATCTCCAGTAAATTTGATACTGTCCTCTATCCTGTGAAGGAGGAAGCACAACAACAATACAAGTTAGAATTCAACTAGGCAAAAAACAGCTAAATTTATTCCAATCCCAAACTCCATTGCCAACATAGTCTACAACATAATAATAAAGCAAATGGGATGGAATATTTGAACTAGCAACATCTTTTAAAATTAAACCATCCAAGAGCCATCTATCCTGCCAAAATCTCGTATTGCACTTATTACATCTTTGATTACATTACGTTGCATTATATGAAACCAAACATACGCTTAAAGTATTAAGTTATGGAGGAATTTGGCAAAAAAAGTTTAATTTTGGGCTTTTTGAATATATGGTTCAAGTTTAAGGAGCAAAGTGAGCTTTTTTTCCCCTCCTTTTTCTATAGATTAAATTCTTGAGTTTGTAGAGATGCTAAACTCAAAGGTACCCTACCAACTAGTAAATTAATTAATAATTTGTACTACCTCTGTTCCATATATAATATTTATCACATTTGAGAAAATAATTTATTCTAAAATATTTGTCACATTTATGGTTTCAAGGAGTAATAAATTCATTTTTTCCATATTTACTTTTTGTATATGACTAATAATTATTACTTCAATTTAATAGTTTTCTTAGAAAATTAGTATTTAATTAAGGGTAATATAGTCAATTTACTTATAATTTACTACAATTTAGACAAATTTAATTGTTTTTTTAAGAAATGTGAAATTTTAAATACGACAAGTATTATGGAACAAATGTAATAATTTGTAACTCAACCTTAAAAAAAAAATAATAATAATCATTTGTAACTGAAGGTGACCTAACCGCATATCTACTTGAATAAAAAAAATGGTTTTATGAATATGATGACAAAATACATATAAAGCACTTAATACAATAATACATAAAATAATGAACAAGTGCTGGAAGTTAATACATATAGTGGTCATCTTCCAATATCTCTTTAATTTAACAAAAAACGTAAAGAGTCAAGTACATTTCAAAGGTTCTAAATATAAATAATTAAGTAGCAATTCCATTTCCATGTGACATGTCAGGTAACCGTTGATCAGTTGATGAAACCTGCCAATGTTGCTGTGTCATGTCCATGTAAGCAAATGCTTCTGCATACTCACAGGACAGACTGAACTGAAAAACATGAATGCCACTAATTTCTCTGTTTCATATGTCCAGTGGATGAAAGTGAAGACATTGAGTCATGGAACAACTTGGAAGTCACTAATAAAAAACCCGTATTAGTTAGATTCTGGAAAATATTCCTTAAACAATGTTACTTGATGAGCAAAGATAGCAATTTGCTTTCACGGAGAAACCGTATTAGTTAGGTTCCCGCTTTCTCCTCGTCATGCCTCCATAGTTTTCTATATTTAGAGTTTTTTTCGGTAAAATTAATTGTTTTGATAGTTATTAGTTATTTTAGTAGCTTTTCATAAAATACTAAAAGCTAAAACTGCGTTCGACAATAGCTTTTTTAAATAGCTTTTAGCGTTTTTACTAAACGCTACTTAAAATGTTATTGCTGCACTCAACGTTTAGACTAGCTTTTAGAAGTTACGATAACATTTCGTGAAAAGTTAACTCATATAATGTTTAGCTTTTAGCGTTTTATAAAAAACTATTAAAACGGTTAACAGCTAAAACCTATTAAAACACCTAACAACTATCAAAATAATTAATTTTGCTTAACAGAGCCTAAATATACCTTTTATAAAATGATACGTTAACTTCTTAAAACAAATTTAAACGTTATGTTACCGAATACGATAAAAAATATTGTTTGTCAAAACACTAAGAGCTACTTAAAAAACTGTTGTCGAACACAGCTTTAGTCACATGCATAAATTCATTCGTATATTTTTCTGTGTAAAATATCAGCTGCTCATTAAAAAATTTATCAAACACCTACAATTTAACTATTGAGTAAAAATCAACTATTTATTGCATGTATCAACTGAACCAACTAACACCTAAATGGTGGATATTAAGTTTATAGTTAGTCTATATTTACTTTCAGTTGATTTTATAATTGAATTGTATGTAAACTTGTTAATTAAAGCGATGTTTGTTATTCCTTCTGTCTCAAATTAATAGGTAAAAATTTTTTTTTTCTCAAACTATAGTCCACTTTCCATTTTAGCTCAACAACTCTATTGAGTAGACACACTTAATTCTAGATGGGCTTATTTAATTGGATTTGTTTCATGGGCTTGATATCATCTGTTCAGAAAGCCCAAACTTGAACATGAAAAGTTCAAAACTTGTGCGAGGGGAGGGACTTTTAATAGACTAATAAATGTACTAGGGTTGTATATGTAAATATGATAAGGAATTTATATAGAGCATCACATATCTTATGTGTCTCTGGCTGGAACCCAGAAAACCACCACATCATTCTCTTATAAATATTTGTACTAATATTCTTATAAAGACAATTATCAAATATAATACATTCTTATTTATCTACTCTCCAAATATCCATCAGCTTAATTTTACTTCTATCAAGTCATTCTATTCAAAAGCTATAAATGAATAAATTGCTCGTAAGTTGTTCAACCTTTGCTCAAAAAGAGCTCATTCGATGAGCTTGATGACCCGAGTTTGACCATGAAAATGATTGTCTTTTTAACTATATATTGTAAACAAGTTGTGCTCAAGCATATAGATATTCAAGCTCAAGTCTAATTATATTTTTATCAAGCTAAACTCAATAATGGTCGACTCCGTTTAGCTCATTTAAAATCTTATGTAATCCCTCGTGTAACAATGAATATGATATTTTTAGACAAAAATAGTAAATAATTTAACATAGAACGATTCAATAACTTAATAAGAATACATGGATTAAGTAAAATTTAAAGACTAAATAGTAATGCACTCAATAACGATTCAATTAAAGTCCTCATAAATAATATCAACTCTAATTTCAAACTCTTAATTCTTCTAACTAATGACGAATTCAATATATTAAGGAATTAGTATAAAATTAAATTCTAAAAATAAAGGTCTAGATCAAATAGTAATGCACTCTAAGGTATATCCTTTTTTTTTTCAAGAGAAACTCTAAAGTATGTAATTTAAATTCTACTAAAATATAGTGGAATTAGTACAATATTTAAAACTAATATGATATGAAATTAAACCCATAATTTAAGTAGTGGATCAAAGTATTAGGAGCGGGTGGGCACATGCAGCCGCAAAAAGCCTTGTGCAAAAAATAGAAGGGCTCTTTAATTTCCTAATAAAGATTATCTTACCAAATTTTTCACAAAAAATCTTATACCACAAAATTTACATGCATCATCCACTAATATTCTTGTCTGTGTTAGGAAATTTTGTAGGGGCGCACATGAAAAGGAAGGTCATGTCATGATATATTCTGCTTTTTTGACAGTTTAAAATTAGTTTGAAATAGTTTTTATGATTGAAAGTACAAGCCGCAGTATATACAAAATGCATGCGCACTTCAGTTTGTGTAGTGTAGGTAAGATTATATTTGTTTTCCGTTGAAGGACACTTTTCTACTATTACAAATCCAAATAGCACACACTTCCCACTGAATATTCTTATTCTTCTTGCCCATGCAGCATCCATTATCAGCTATTTTATAAGAAAAATTGAGTTATGATTCTAGTTGTTTTGAAATGATTTACCAGAAACAGTCCTTTTTTTTTTTTTTTTTTTTTTTTTTTTGCAGCATCCATTATGAGCTATTTTATAAGAAAAAATTGCAGGTTCATGATTTAGTTTGTTTTGAAAATGAATTTACCAGAAACAGTTCCTTTTTTTTTTTTTTTTTTTTTTTTTTTTTTTTTTTTTTTTTAGCATTCCAAAAGCAAATCTAAATCAATTTGTCGCTCCAAGATACCCATTTCTCACTATGTTATGCCTTTGAATGCAAATTATCTATTATATAACAACATATTCCGTTTGGTATAAACCTAGGTCTCACGTATAAATATATGCCACCTTATTAAACCTAATTCATCTTAAAACCCAGAAACATCAGTACCAATGGCATCATTAGTCAACAAAATAGCCACATTTTTCTTTCTCTTTCTTGCCAATCCACTCTTCAATTCTAATCGATCTCTGGCAAAACAAAGAAAACCTAATACTATAGTTCTTGGCCTAAGCCACTCTAGGACTTCACTTCCCATTCCAAATTCCTTCTCAGACTCCATAAAAAGACCAACAGAAGCATTAATGGAGCCATTAAGAGAAGTAAGAGATGGATATTTAATATCTCTAAGCATAGGTACACCCTCACAAGTAATTCAAGTTTATATGGACACGGGAAGTGACCTAACTTGGGTTCCTTGTGGGAGTCTATCTTTTGATTGCATGGATTGTGATGATTATAGGAATAATAAGTTAACGGCTGCATTTTCACCTTCTCAGTCCTCTTCATCTTACAGAGACTCTTGTGCTAGCCCTTATTGTATTAATATTCACAGTTCTGATAATTCTTTTGACCCATGCACTGTGGCTGGTTGCTCGTTGAGTACACTTGTTAAAGCCACTTGTTCTAGGCCATGTCCTTCATTTGCTTATACTTATGGGGCAGGAGGGATTGTAACTGGGACACTAACAAGGGACACCCTAAGAGTTCATGGAAGTGATCCTAATGTCACTAAAGATATCCCAAAATTTCTTTTTGGGTGCGTAGGATCTACGTATCATGAGCCTATTGGAATTGCAGGGTTCGGTAGGGGTGCCCTTTCTTTGCCTTCACAATTAGGGCTACTTCAAAAGGGTTTCTCTCATTGTTTCTTAGCCTTCAAATATGCAAATAACCCTAATATCACAAGCCCATTAGTTATAGGAGATATAACCTTATCTTCTATCGACGAAATGCAATTTACTCCTCTGTTGAAAAGCCCTATGTATCCTAATTACTACTATGTTGGTCTAGAAGCTATAAGTGTTGGCAATGTAAGTGCAACTCAAGTGCCCTTAATTTTAAGGGAGTTTGATTCAAGAGGTAATGGAGGTATGTTAATTGATTCAGGAACCACCTATACTCACCTACCCGAACCATTTTATTCCCAGATTCTTTCTACTCTTGAGTCGATGATACATTACCCTAGAGCTAGTGAAGTAGAAATAAGAACTGGGTTTGATCTTTGTTACAAGGTTCCATGTCCAAACAATAGTTTAATAGCTAAAGATAATGTCTTTCCTTCAATTACTCTTCATTTCTCGAACAATGCAAGTCTGGTTTTGCCCCAAGGAAATCTCTTCTATGCTATGAGTGCTCCAACTAATTCTACAGTAGTTAAATGTCTACTTTTCCAAAGCATGGATGATGGGGAATATGGACCCGCTGGTGTGTTCGGGAGTTTTCAACAACAAAATGTACAAGTTGTTTATGATTTGGAGAAAGAGAGAATTGGGTTTCAGGCAATGGACTGTGCTTCAGCTGCAGCTTCTCAAGGGCTTCACAATAAGTAATTTTTGTGTTTCAATTCTGAATGTTTTCTTAATCTGTTTCTTTGAAAGTAGAGTCTGAGCTTCCAACTTCCTGAGCATTTAATTACTTGTAGGTGTTCGTTATAAACTGTGGCTTCAGCCCTTTTTTTATTTTTTATTTTTATTTTTATTTTTTTTTTAAGTAATGTACTCTTTTGTTTATCTATTTCCCTACAAAGAAATAAGTTAATTTGTACTTTATAAGTACTAGTTTAGATTTTTCTTTTTTACATTAAATTTGAGAGCTGAGACAGTGAGCTGTTATGTTGATAGTGCTTGATAGTAAATTATTTCATAATTGAAATGGAATAACTTTCTAACGCTATCATTACTGTTCCATAAGAAAAAAGAAAAAAGAAAAAAGAAAAAAAAAAAAAAAAAAAAAACGGGTTCCATAACTTTATACATGTTCAGTCCCAAGTGCTAAATTAAGCAAATGAAGCTGGCTATGTCTATTGGTATTAGCAAGTTGTTTGTGGAGTCTGATAACTCAGCTATGGTTCATTTGATTTAAAGGAAAAGCTCCTTCTTTGTGTGGTATTCTCAGCTGGTTAATTCCAATCATGATGCTTAATAAGGATCGATGGAGGTTGTTCTATTTCTCATGTCTATACTGAGGCTATTTTCAATACAGAGTTTATAGCTGAACTTAATGTTCGCACTGTAAAGAACAACTATGATGGCTACCTAAAAGTTTCAGTAAAATTTAACTCGATTTTAGGTTTCTAATCTAATGTTTGCATGTTTCTAATCCTAATAATGCAAGAAAAAACAAAAAAAATTCTCGAAATATCTGGGTCGAGCCCCAGCAGACGCGGGTCAACAAATCATGCTACAGTCTAATCGCAGTCCCTGCGTCTAGAATAAACTCTCGAAGCTTTATTCCATGGGTTACAGGTCGAGTCACGGGGTCGATCATAGCATCATCCGGAAGCCAGTCTACGACATTTTCGATGGCCATGAGTTTCGGTTGCGAAAAAGAGAGAGAAGAAAAAAGAGAGAGTTGAAGCTTAAAAGATAGGTTTAAAGTGACAAATGAATGTCACTTTCACCTTTTATAAAGAATAATGGGCCCGTAGGCCCGACTTAAGCCTTCAGGCCTAGTTCGGTCCAAAGGACCACTTGCTGCGTCCAGCTCTCGTCCTTAGTCGGCAACCCGCCAATGGCTAGCCGCCTAAGCAGGGGCAATACACTTCACTATGTTTTGTGTGCCATGGTATGATTTTCAATAAAAGTCACACGAATCCATATGAATTCAAACTCACACAAATAGACACGAACTCACGCAAATTCACACATTTTTTTCACGCGTCACACGTGCACACTTTTCCGGGCCTAATCATGGAAATTTCTAAACCATAACCGGCCGAAGAGCCTCTTCCCTTGCGTTGCTAGCATTGTTTTGCAGGTAACTCCCCGAGCAGAGCATTTTCGAACAAAGCCGTCTCGAGTGGTGCATCTAAGCTATCCCGAGTGGCGCACCTAAGCCGTCCCGTGTGGCACGCCGTTAAGTCCCCTGAGGCAGGTCATCTAAGTAGTCCCGTGTGGCGCACCGTAAGTCCCCTGAGGCAGGTTATTAAAGTCTCTTTGGGCACCGTTCGAAGGACAACCTCCCACAGGGGAGCATTCTCAAATCAAAGCCGCTAACTGGTGTAATTATCCACAGAAACCGTCAACAGCCACCATGACACAACTCATCCGCCCAACAAATACCATAATGGCACCGTAAGACCCCCCAAGGCAGGTTATTAAAGTCCCCCAAGGCATCATCGAAGGACAATCTCCCACAGTGGAGTATTCTCAAATCAAAGCTACCAACTGGCGCAATTATCCGCAGAAGCCGTCAACAACCACAATGACACAACTCATCTGCCCAACAAATAACGTAATGGCACCGTAAGTCCCCTGAGGCAGGTTATTAAAGTCCCCCTAAGCACCGTCAGAAGGACAATCTCCTGCAGTGGAGCATTCTCAGATTAAAGCCACCAACTAGCGCAATCAATCGCAGAAGCTGCTGACAATCACCATGGCGCAATCCGTCTGCCTGTCAATCACTGTAATAGTAATCCACATCAACCCTGTCATTTAATTAATGTCTTCTATTTTACAAGCACTTTACTATACTGTTCTTTAACATTTTGCCTTTTAGTTTGACGCTTTAAGCTTATTATTGCCATAACCTTAATGTTCATAAATCTTGAATTATTAACAATCATCATTTCCATAATGGTTGAATGGTTGTGTGTGTTATGATTCTGTTAGTAATTTATGTTTATGTGAATATGTATTATTATTTGTGTTTATTGATTCTTTGTGTTTGGTTTATGATTTAAGTTTTATTGCAAAATGTAAAGGGTCCTTGGAAGGATTCCTAATAATTGCTTGAATGTATTAACTTGTGGGAATGGGGAAATTTGGAGGGTTTTTGGATAGATTGAACATTAGGAATGGTTTGTAATCCTTTTCTCCCCCCCTTTCTTTGTGTGTTGAATTGATAAATACAAAAATACACTTGGATGACATGTTTCACAAAAATGCATAAAAAGGGTTTTTCCATCTCAATTCGAGTTAATCGCATTATTAATTATTGTGAATTATTGGACAACGAGGAGGCCAATTGAATCGAAAGATGTGGGTGCTAACACCTTTGCATTATTGTACCTAACTCCCGTACTCTATCTTTGGTTTAAAAAACCGAGTGAGTTGATTCCAAAGAATCGACTAATTCGAGAATTTTTCCTAATAAGGGTGGCGACTCCAAAATTAACAAAACTCTTACCAAAGTAAGAGAACCATTTTTTGAGTATAAACGAATGAGTTAATAAAGAAAATCGATTTACTAAATAAAATGAACCAAGCCCATTCAATTTGGTTCTTTCCAAAAAACCAAACACTTTTTGGGGAAAACTGTGCGTTCTCAGCTTGGCGACTCCACTGGGGATTGAACCTATAATCTCTGATTTTTGGTTTTGGGTTCGAATAAGAGAGTCGACTCTAAAAGTTGTCTAACTATTCACAGTCTTTAATAACGATATTAACTTCAAACTGAATTTACTTTTTGTACTTATAAATGTCATTCATGCATTTATTCTCTTCTTAATCTCCTTTCTAACCTAAACCCTAAAGGTGGTATTTGGGGTTATGATCCTTTCACTCTACTTGACTGTTTGGATCCGCCACTAATATATACCACCCATAAGTTAAGTACCATTAGGTATATTAAAAGAATTTGGCATAATCCGTTATCACCATTACGCTTCGACCCAAAGCAAATGGGAGGAAATAATCAATTATCGCTTATGGAACTCAAGACTTATTAAACTCGACCTAAGCTCACGTAATTGACCCTAGTTCCTTTCTCTAGGTTTACCTTAATAAATTTATGATTTTTGCATTCATATAATAAATGTGAGAGGCATCGGTCCAAAATCCCATGATGGTTTATGGGCCCAACCTATATGTCCTAAGGATTAGAAAGACTTTGATCTCGAATCGTGTGTGTGAGACATAAAGGTGGAGATCATGCATTTTCTAACTCTCGTCCCCTTCATATATAATTGCTATGATTGTGTTGTGCTTTATTCATGCATCATTTAACTTATTTCCTTGTAGCCATTTAGGTATATTCTATCATGGCTCGATCTGACGTTCGAAGCGCCAAAGGGCAAAAGACTTAAGAGAGGTATTGGAGGCAAAACGAGCTAAAAGAGCTCTTTCCAATAGTGACTACAAGGCCGAGGCCCAAATGCCTAAGAGGTAATCTCCTGCGATCCCAACTCTGATAAAAGAAGACTAATTAGAAGAGGCTTATCAACTCTTGCTTGAAATAAAGCAAGCACAACTTGAAGCCATGACTCTCTTCCAAGGTGTGGAGGCACGATTTACACTCATGCGCCTGATAAAAAGAAGACTAATTATGAAGAGCCTTATCAAAACTCTTGCTTGAAATAAACAAGCAACAATTGAAGCCAGACTCTCTTCCAAGGTGTGGAGGCACGATTTTAGAAGAGGCTTATCAACTCTTGCTTGAAATAAAGCAAGCACAACTTGAAGCCATGACTCTCTTCCAAGGTGTGGAGGCACGATTTACACTCATGCGCGTTATCGGCAACCGCCTTGTGGAAATTGGAAACTTCAGTCTAGAGGATGCAAAGCTGTATCAAACCTCTTAGGTTTTGAGGTGCAAAGTTGTAAATATTTAGTTAGGGCCTCAAAAGAACAATAAATGTGAATGTCCACTCTTGGAAAGTAATGAAATGAGTCTATTTTGAGCCAAATATTGTTAATGCCGAGAAAAAAATAAAGAAAAAATGAGTGAAAAGAAAAAACTCAAATGTATATAGATAAAGAACCCTGCTCAAGTACTATTATGCTTGAGGCAAAAGTAAGGGATACAAAAATATATAATAATAAGAAAAGAGGCATTATAAATATTTGGCTATAAGATAGGGCACGATTTGCCTTTAAGAGTTCTCAAGTGCCCTTCTCTGATTTTGGTTTTGAACAGTCGTGATAAAGCCATAATGAAATATAGCATTAGTTGCATTTCATGATGTTATGATTGTATGATTGTATGATTGCATTTTTGTATGACATGAGATATTCATGCATCCATACATCATGTTGTGTTTTCTAACGTTCATTTTGTGCAGTCAAGATAGCACCACATAGAGAAAAAGCACCGTAAGCAGTCAGTTGGTTAAGAGTAAACAACCAGTTGATTAGAGTTGAAGAACCTTCAACCCCCTCTAATTTACCTAGTTTGGATTCTTCTAATTTGCCAGGCTCCCGCGTTGAGATTGGATACCCTCTGGTTCAAATAGATTTTCAACTTCTACTTCTACTTCATTTGACAGAATGGGTGAACCCAACATTCCGGTTTTTGAAATTGAGAAGATGATTGAGAAGATATTGGCAGCTAGCCTTGAAAAGCTCCGATGAACTGATAAGGATAAAGAGCAAGTGGTGATTGAAGATGATGA